AATGTAATTCCAAAGCAACTGAGGACCAGTTGGCACAGAAACATTGACAGACCTTTTGCTGACTTTTGCTCGGTTGAAAATTATGTCAAACAATCGCCAGAGCTTTAATTTTTTCCGTGATTTTCGATTTTATTCCCGCTCGCCGTGTTAATATCAGCTCGATCGGGCACCTATTACTGCCAAAAAGCACTCAGGCGGGATAGGCTGTTTCGAGTTTTCTTGATACTTAACTCGAGCAGTAGATAGCTACAGAGCTGGTACGCACACCTAATTAATTCAGAATTATCAAACTCGTTCGTCTGGCGCATCTCGAGGTCTGAACTCAGTCTGCTACTCGAGCTATGTCTGCGAAGCTTTTCGTATTCTATTTTTTTGCGCTAGTCTAAAGTACTGACGCCCGAAGGGCCGAAAACTGTTCGTATTATCCAAATTCTGAGATGGTGATGGTTTTCTTGTCTTAACTCGAGCTGCAGATGAGTTACAGAGCTCTTCGGCTGAGCAATCCGAAGGAAATCATCAGGTGCGATAGTTCTAAGTATCTAGACGCCTTTCAGCGCTGGGGCTGAATCGCTATCCGTACTCTGATTTTTTTCTGATATGGTGCTGATTTTCTTGACTTAACTCGAGCTGCAGATGAGATACAGAGCTGTTCGGCACAGCAGTCGAAAGGCCTACTAGACACCTGGACTCGGTCTGCTATCAGCGCTGAAGCCGAAGAACTATTTGTACGCTGCTATTTTTTTGGAGAATGTGATGATGTTCTGGACTTCAATCGAGCTGCAGATGAGCTACAGAGCTGTTCGGCACAGCAATCGGAACAAAAAACATTAATCAGGCGCACTAGTTTAAAGTATCTAGACGCCTGAAATCTGTCTGCTATCAGCGCTGGGACCGAAGAACTATTCGTACTCTGCTAATTGTGTCGAGATGGTGATGGTTTGCCTTACGTTGTTCGGCGCAGCCATCGGAAGGAAATCAAAAGGTGCGCCAGCTCAAAGTGTCCAGACGCCTGAACTCGGTCTGGTATGACTCTAATTTTTTCCCATATGATTTTCTCTCACTCCTTCTTCTCCTCCACGTCTTCCTCCATGAGACCGCGCCAACTCGCGCGCGCAATGCGAGATTGCCGCGCCCGCATTGCACGAGGAAGCTCTACGAGTTCCCGGCGGTAACCAAGGTTGACGGTTGATCGCGGGGTCCCAGTGCTTAACTCGAGCTGTAGGATAGCTACAGAGCTGGTACGCACAACTAATCGATCCAGAATGATCAATCGCGTTCGTCTGAAGCATCTAGAGTTCTGAACTCGGTCTGCTACTCGAGCTAGGTCCGCGAAATTATTCGTAGTCTACATTTTTTGAAAAATGACGACGAGTTTCTTGACTTAACTCGAGCCTCAGATAAGCTAAAGGGCTCTTGGGCACGGCAATCGGAAGGCAATGATCAGGCGCGCTAGTCTAAAGTATCTAGACGCCCGAACTCGGTCTGCTATCAGCACTGGAGCCGAAACACTGTTCGTACTCTCCAAATTTTCGGGATGCTTTTGTTGACTTATCTGGAGCTGCAGATGAGCTGCAGACTGTTCGGCCCAGCAACCGAAAGGGAACCATTAGGCGCAATAGTTCTAAGTATCTAGGCGCTTGAAATCAGTCTGCTATCAGCGCTGGAGCTGAAAAGCTATCCGTACATTTTTTCTTTCCTTCTCCTTTCCTTTTTTTCTTCGATGTGGTGATGATTTTGCTGACTGAACTCGAGCTGCAGATGGGCTACAGAGCTGGTCGGCACAGCAATCGGACGGCACTCATCAGACGCGCTACTAGACACCTGGACTCGGTCTGCTATCAGCGCTGAAGCCGAATTACTATTCGTACTCTGCTAATTTTTTCGAGATGATGATGATTTTCTGGACCTTAATCGAGGTGCAGATGAGCTACAGAGCTGTTCGGCACAGTGCACAGTAATTGGGAAACATATACTCAGGCGCAGTAGTTTAAAGGATCTAGACGCCTGAATTCTGTCTGCTATCAGCGCTGGGACCGAGGAACTATTCGTACTCTGCTAATTGTGTCGAGATGGTGATGGTTTGCTTTATGCTGCTCGGCGCAGCAATCGGAAGGAAATCAACAGGTGTGCCAGCTCAAAGTGTCCAGACGCCTGAACTCGGTCTGGTATGACTTTATTTTTTCTAGAGATGCTTTCTTCTCGCTCGTTCTTCTCCTCCACGTCTTCCTCCATGAGACCGCGCCAACTCGCGCGCGCAATGCGAGATTGCCGCGCTCGCATTGCACGAGGAAGCTCTACGAGTTCCCGGCGGTAACCAAGTTTGACGGTTTACCGCCGGCTCCCAGTTGATCGACCTGACCAGGAAAGAAGATGTGGTAACTTGGGCTTGGTTTTGCTAAGATCTGGAATATGTTTAACTATTTATTTTGCGATGCCAGATTTGTACGTCCAGCATTAGTGTTTAAACTTCATTATGCAAGATAATCATCTTTCTAGATGCAGTTTTACTATCGGTTCACTTCCGGGAACCGACCTCATATTGACATCAAAAACTAAAACATTGTGGATTGTAAACATAATGACTCGTAGAGCTTCCCTGAGAGCGTTAGCGGCAAAGCTAGAAGAGTAATTCCGGCGCGCTGGGGGGCTAGTTGGCAAAAAATCTCGACGGAAGTTTTGCATACTTTTGCTCGGTTTAAATTCGATTTTTCGAAATTCAACAATTCGTTTGAGCTCTAGTATTTATTGCACCCATATTCGATCTTTTTCCCGCTCGCCATTTTAATCTCAGCTCGATCGGGTACCTATTACTGCCAAGAAGCATGTGGGCGGGATCGGCTGTTCGAGTCATTTTAACAAGTGCTGTCGGTTTTCTGAACTTAACTCGCGCTGTAGGACCACTACAGAGCTGTTATGCACACCTAATCGATCCAGAATTATCAGGCGCGTTCGTCTCCAGCATCTAGAGGTCTGAACTCGGTCTGCTCCCAGAGCTAGGTCCGCGGAACTATTTGTACTCCACCGATTGTCGAGATGATGATGAGTTTCTTCACTTAACTCGAGCTGCAGATGAGCTAGAGAGCTCTTTGGCACAGCAATCGGAAGGAAATCATCAGGCGCGATAGTCTGAAGTATCTAGACGCCTGAGTTCGGTCTGCTATCAGCGCAGGAGCTGAAACACTATTCGTACTGTGCTGGTTTTTTGGAGATGGTATTAGTTTTCTTGACCTAACTCGAGCTGCAGATGAGCTACAGAGCTCTTCGGCACAGCAATGGGAAGAAAATCATCAGGCGCGCTAGTTCAAAGTATCTAGACGCCTGATATCAGTCTGCTATTTGCGCTCGGGCTGAACAACTATTCGTACTCTGTTAATTTCTTGGAGATGGTGATGGCTTTCTTGACTTAACTCGCGCTGCAGATGCGCTACAGAGCTGTTCAGCACAGCACTCGGAAGGGAATCGTCAGGGGCGCTAGTGAAAATTATCTAGACGCCTGATCTCGGTCTGCTATCAGCGCTGGGGCCGAAAAACTATTCGTACTCTGCTAATTCTTTGGATATGGTATTGGTTTTCATGATTTAACTCATGAGCTACAGAGCTGTTCGGCAGAGCAATCGAACGGGAATAATCAGGCGCGCTAGTTTAAAGTATCTAGACGCCTGAACATTCGTACCCTGCTTATTTTTTAGAGATGGTGATGGTTTTCTTTACGCTCGTCGGCGCAGCCATCGGAAGGAAATCAACCGGCGCGCCAGTTTACAGTGTCCAGCCTGGGTCTGGTATGTCTATATTTTTCCAGAGATGCTTTTCCCTCACTCCTTCTTCTTCTTCTTCTCCACGTCCTCCTTCATGAGACCGCGCCCTCGCGCGCGCAATGCGAGATTGCCGCGCCCGCATTGTGCGAGGAAGCTCTGAGAGTTCCCGGCGGTGTATAGATTTGTGTGTACACGGGACGTGGCAGTTGGTGGCGGAGGAAGCTTTCTCGCTTGATGCCTCTGCTTCTGTCATGTTTTGTGAGATGATTGCAGCACAACGGCTCTGTATGGCCGTGGAGCACATTTTGGGTAGCATCTTTCATCCAAGCAGCTGACTCATTTCATCTTGCTTGGAGCTCTCCAACACCTTTACAATTTCACATGTTGTACTGCATCCTTTTCCTTGTTCCTGCATCCTATTCCGTTGCCTATGCCTCAGTGGCTCGGCAGTGTGATGATAAGAGATGCCCTCTCTAGCTGCCCTGTGCTCCGTTTGGGAGTCTTAGGGCTCAGCTGTCACAGCTGTCCGCGCCCTGACTCAAACTCAAATAACCAAGGTTGACGGTTTACCGCCGGCTCCCAGTTTCTGAGAAGTGCTCTGCTTCGATTCGGAGCACTTACTCGTGCAAAGAGCTCTACGAGGTTCCCGGCGGTGACCAGGTTGACGGTTCACCGCCGGCGCCAGTGCTAGAGCTCTAACGAATGCTCAAATTCCGAGAAATCGAATGTACCTCGTAGAGCTCTTCGGCATCGATGAGCCAGAGGAACTCCGGCGCAGGCTGCAGCTAGCTGGCCCAGCCGGCCTGGGCGGGCACTGCGGCAACTTTGGGTCGGTTAGACAAAGATGCCGCGTAGAGCTCTTCGTTATCGATGAGCTAGAAGAATTCCGGCGCGGGGCTGAGCTAGTTGGTCGACCCGACCAGAAAGGGCAATCTGGTAACTTGGGCTCGGTTTTGCTAAGATTTGAAAGATATTTGACCATTGATAAACCAAATTGTAACGTCCAGCATTAGTGTTTAAACTTTATTCTGAGAGAGAACCAGCTCTGTAGAGCAACCGACATCAGGTTGACATCAGCATCGAAACATTTGGAGCAACCGACATCAGGTTGACACCGAAAAATGCAAATTTGACGTTTTTCTAAAAGTTCTCCGAGAAGCTCTCTGCTTCGATTCTGAGCACTCTTACGCGTGCAAGGAGCTCTACGAGGTTCCCGGCGGTGACCAGGTTCAAAGCACACTCGCTATCTCAATTCTCTTATTTTCGTGTTCTTTCTCAGTGGTGTTGAGACGGTACTCGCTGTATAAACCAGTGGTTACTGTATGGTCTCTCACTCCTTCTTGCTGTCTTGTACAGCTTCTTTGATCATCTTTGTCGTTTTGTTTTCTAGTGTATTGGCAGTCTTGTGCATATCTGTACAGCTTTGCTGTTTGATGCACCTCTGCTTTAATCTTTGCAGCTTCGTTGTCTTCCTGTACAGCTTCGCTGTTTAGGTTCTTTGTGTTTAGGCCTGCTCCCATGGGAGCTCGAACCGGCCTTCGCAAAAGACGCAAAGACCAGGTTCCCTCAGTTTCCTGCCTCATCTTCCCACAGTTTCCTGCCATATACCTATCATTTGTGGTCTTGTTTGTGCCAGATGCCCCATGTGCGGAGTCTCGCATCCAGGTGTTTGCGTCGGGCTCGGGCTTGCCAACTTGGATGGGTTCGACCGAATTGTCCTCTTCCGTTGGTGCTCGAAGGCCTAATCGCCCGTGACACGGTCTTGCATGCAGAGTTGGATGCTCAGGCTAATAAGTTGTTGACAGCATTACTCCATCCCTCTGATAGCTGCCCGAAAGTTGATTCCGTTGCACTTCGCGGTTTTTCTTCTGCTATTGATGCTGGGGTCCAGGTTGACGAGGTCGAATATCCTTCTCAAAGCATTCGAGTATTTTCAATTGATGCTGGTGTCCAGGTTGACGAAGTGCACTGTCCCTTTCAGAGCATTCGAGTGTCCTCAATTGATGCTGAGGTCCAAGTGCATTCTCAAAGCATTCGAGTGTCTTCAATGGGTGCCGGCGTGCAAACTCAGTTCACTTGCGAGGACGCCTGTGTGCAAACTCAGTTCACTTCAATGGATGCTGGCGTGCATACTCAGTTCACTTTGAAGGACGCCTGTGTGCAAAGTCAGCTCACTTTCCAGGACGCCGTCAAAACATGGATTGACAGGAGTACTGCCCAGAAGGGGTTCACCGGCCAGGTTGCGCTGCAGTATTTAATCCAGGGGCTTGAATTATTCGTAGACCTCATGACAGAGCCAATGACCATCCCAAAACATCATGTATCATTTTGTTTCCATACTTTGTTCAACCTCACGGATCATGTTCAGTCGTTTCTGGGAGAACTTTTGGATTGTCTCAAATCTCACCGTTTCGTGACGGGGAAAATGGACCGTGCCGAGGAGGCCAGGTTTAAAGCTCCAGGGTACATTGTCGATTGTTTCAGTTTTGTTCCAGACGGACTCTTCGAGAGTGCCAGTCGCGCAGACCCGCGGAGACTGGCAGCAGACACCCGGAGACTACAGCAAATGTGGGAGCCCCAAGAGCTCAGAATTACGTCGCCACGTGGACGCATCGCCTCTCCGTCGGGGTCGTCGTCTGTCCGTGTCGCTTCGGATGTGATAGCCAAGACTGGACATCAAAAGTTGGTTCCCGAATCTTCCCAAAGCATTCGAGTTTCTCCCGATAACGGTGGGAGCTCTAGAGGTAGCCGCAAAGGCAGAGGCAAAGGCAAACGATAGGGCAGCTTTGAACATGATTGTCTGCATACATTACCTCTCTGTGTATTGTACGCTGTATTGTATTGGATTGTTGATTGTGATTGCCTCGCGTGGTCTTTTGATTGTTGATTGTGATTGCCTCGTGTGGTCATTCTGTGCATTGTTTGAGCTCTAATAATTCAGTGTGTGCATGTTAAGTTCTTGGCCAGGTCTCCAGGCTCTCTTGTCGTAGTTTTAGTTTCGCCTCTTCAGTGTTCTCACTGTTGTAGGGTTGTACGAGCCTTCAGCGGCGGAGCGCATCTGCGATGTTCTCCCACAGGTTGTGCGAACGTCTTTGGTCATGCATGTTTCTGTTTCTCTATAAGAGCGGACTGCTTGCTTGACAATTTTGAGGCTTCGCTTCGCCTGAGACTTCGTTGGACCTGGCCTCAGTGGCCAAGATGGTCCCAGCAAAGACGCAAAAGACCAGGTTGACGGTTCACCGCCGTTGCCGTACCTCGTAGAGCTCTTCGGCGTCGATGAGCTAGAGGAATTCCGGCGCGGGGTGCAGCTAGTTGGCCCACCCCCGGCTGGGACGGACAATGTGGTAACCTGGGGTCGGTTTTTCGAAGATCTTGAGAGATTTGATAATTCATTTTGGAAACCATTATTTTTGTAACGTAGAGTGGGTTCTGCCGCGTTTTGCTGTCAAATCCTCAGGTCCGTAGCTGCAATTTTACTATCAAAAAACGTGGAGGAACAATCGCCTGTCGGGATGTATTATCGATTTGATAAAGAATATGTTCGATTACTTGAACTCCCTCGTCGGAATCTAAGCAGAATTCCGTGATCCCAGAGTTCTACGAGGGTCCGGAGCCATTTTGGCTCAAGAGCTCTACGAGGGTCCCGGCGGTAATCTGGTTGCCTCCCTCCTCAGGGGTCTGGCGGCTGGGGGCTCCCGCTGGGCCCTCGTCTCGAGCGGCATTGTGCCGTGCTGCTTTCCTTGGTTCCCATTACCGTACGCGTTACTGCAGAGTGTATTTTGCCTGAGTACCGTACACACTCATTCTTTGTTTGATTCCTATTCCCGTACGCGTGCTGCAGAGTGTCTTTTGCCTGAGTACCGTACACACTCTTTGGAGGTCGAGATTGCTGGAGGACACTATCATTCCTTGATTGTCGGAGTACACATCCTTTCTTTTCATTTGCAAAGACGGCGTGGGATACTCAGAGAAGTCCCTCGTGGGAGAGTAGAAAGCTACCCCGCAGTGTGCTATCAGAATCAGCTGTAGGTGAGTTCCACAGTATTGACGGAGACAGTGCTCTATCTTCCCTTGATTTCCCAGATCTCAGGATGGAGGAGAACACAGCGGCTGGACCCTTCGGCCCCCAGCGGGCACAGCCACCTGTCTCGGGCCTGGTCGACAGCAGGCGAAGAGGTGGGGACCAGAGGAGCCGCAGCGGTGACAGAACGGATGACAAGCCCCCTGCTTGGTGGGCTGGCGCTCAGAGTGCGATGATTGATGCCCAGAGGATACAGCTGAACGAGACCCTCACTGCACGCCTTGCCCCCATGGAGGCGACACTGGCGACGCACACGGCTTCAATTGCCTCAATGAGACGCGAGATTACTGAAAATGCAGCATCCTTGTCAGCACTGAGAACAGAATTCAACACACTTCAAACTAGATCGGAGTCAGGGTCCAGCAATGGGGTGTCATCTCGGATGTCTGGGGCCTTTACTCGTGCGACCTGGAACCCGTCTTCCATTGAAATCAAGGGCTGGGTGACGGACTGGAAAAACTATGAGCAACGAGGCCGCCAGATGCTGACACAATCACAGGTAAATTATATCCTCAATGAGATTGTTCTTTCTCCGATCGTCGCCAGCACTTCGGCGGAAGGCAGGATTGACACACCACGTACTCAAGAAGAAAATGATGGTCGCACATTCGGATACAGTCGCATTAGAATCTTTTTCACCATGGGGACCGACTCCAGAATATTGTGGGATATGCGCCAAAGACTCCTCGCGGCAGTGCATAGTGGGACCAGTAAAACACTGACTGATGTGGCCAGACAGGCTACAGAGGCACAGGGTAGTATCAAAGTCATTGTTGAGGCGGCCCCACACAAACAACCACATGTTAATTGCGCGGGTAAGTTTCAGAACATCTTCAGGCGCCATGTCAATGCGGCCCTGGGAATTATAGTTCGAGCGGAGCTGGGACCACCTACGACACACTTCTGGGGCAAGCTCCCCAACGACACCACAAATGGAAAGGTCATCGCAGTTTTTAACCCAGCAACGAACTATGAGATCCTGCCCGCTCTGGCCGTCTTGGATCCTGCCATCAACACGGCACAGCTCCAAGCTGATCTGAGGGCTGAATGACATGAGTGGATTGCCAGAGTGGGCACATGGAATATCGAGAAAAGAGGTCCACAGTTTTCCGAAGCTATCCTGGATGCTGCCAACGACAGAGGCATTTTCTTGTTGGGACTCCAGGAGGCACAGTTTTTCACGGACAGTCGAAAGATTCTTGCTGGGGATGGGTGGCACATGGAACGCTCTTCGTGTAAGAAAGCAGCTATTTTGTGGAAGGGCCCATGGAAGGCTCTGCTACGTGACATTGAGCGCGGACCAAGGTTCGTCATTGCATGGTTCAGGCCAGCCGCTACTGTTTGCTTGTATTTGCCAGATGCAGATGAGGATGAGGAGGTGAGGGAATTCAGTCAAGTGTTGGAGGAGGTGAAGAGGAGGATCAGAGAGTATCGCAGACGTCACCCCGAGCAGCCAGACATGCTTATCTTGTTTACGGATGCCAACGTTGAGATGGCTCCCAATCTTATCGCAAACGGCCGTGCTATCACTGGTATGGGAGTGAAGGAAGAGGTGGAGGTACTATTCAGAGGAGGAAGGGAGGGTGTGAGGAAGAAACAATTGGAGGAGATGAGGTTCCTATTGGCAGAATTTTGCAGTGTGCATCGTTTACGGCTGGCAAACACGTTTGGCCCTCGCTGTGCGACTTGGCGAGGTAGGGCAGCACCCCGAGGGGAGGCGGTGCTCGACTATATAGGCATCAGTGCTTCTGATCAATTCGACTCGGGGACTACTGCTGAGTGGATTCGGGCCCTAGGGAGATCGGCCACAATCCAGGAGATCAGCGACCACAAACTAGTACATCTTGCGGTTGCTGTGGGAAGGCGGCGACGCTGCAATAATAGGGAGCGAGCTGCCTTGCATCAATGGGGACCCGTGGACCCTGCTGCGGCTGCCGCCAGCTTCGACCGTGCCCTGTCACGGCAGTTTCAAGATGCAGGCTCTCGGTATCGCCCATTACAGTCTTTGGTTGAAGAGGAGGAGGAGGAGGAGGAGGACATCAAAAGGGACGTGAAACCCGTGAAGGAGGAGGAGGGCGAGCAGAGGAGGCAGGGCAGGGGCACACTCAGCCAGATCATCGCAGATACGGCGGCAAGTATCCCTAGCCGCCAGGTGGCCGCACTTCGTGCACCTGTGAGGCCGGAACGTCTATGGACGCTCGAACGGCTGTTACGGCGTGCTCTTTGGCCCAGAGAACTTCGATGCCAGAATGAAGTCAGGAGTCTTCGGAGATTGATCAAACCACTGCGAAAACAATATGATGCCGACATGCTCGAATACAAACACAAAGTTGAACAGCGTAAATTACGTACACAAGCACAGGCACTTAAAGTCAAAAAGATGACGGGGGAGTGGGAACTTACTTACGATGTCGAGGCCAAACAGGTGGAAATTGGGAGGTACTTGAAAGACAGGGTGGAGGACTACGGGGCGAGGAGGGAGGTGCAGTCTATTCTGGAAGGTCTGGCATCGAAGCTCAACCAGTCCCAGTGCGTGAGCATCACCATGCATGACATCTTGCGAGCGAGGGCTCGCCTCAAGAGTGGGGCGGCTGGACCTGACCAAGTGACGCGGGAGATGCTGCAGCTCATCCCCTTTGCCAGCCTCAAGACAATCCGACATCATTTCAGCCTGATCGCCAATCGTCGTCAACAGGTCCCCTCGGATTGGAAGAGGTTTCTGGTAACTCTCATCCCGAAGGCGCCGTCCATCCAGGAGCTTTCAGAGACTAGGGCGATCTGCCTCCTGAGCCTGGTCCAGAAGTGGTACAACCATGTCCTAGTCATTAAAGGGGAACATCTGGTGAATATCAAACACTCTCTTAACATGTATGGGTTTGTGAAGTTCAGGAAGGTTTCTGAGGTCACATCGTTTACCAAACATCTTTGCCAACATGCTGCACAATGGGGAAAAGGGGAGAAGCTCTATCTGGCCAGCCTCGATGTACTCCAGGCGTTTGACCACGTTACTATCAAGCTAGCGTTACAAAGTATGGAGAAGCTTGGTTTTGACCCCGCTTTGATTTATGCCCTTCTTTGCCCTATGACCGAAAACACGTGTAAAGCCACCTTCGAAGGGACCCAGAATTTGGATTGGATTGGTTGGGATCGGAGTATCAGGACGGGCGGGGTGGACGGACCATTCATATTCAAAGTGGTGAGTGTGGCCTTGTGGAATGATATCGTCGGGACCTGGCCAGGGCGTGATCTGGGTTACGTAGTCGAGTCCCCCGTCCCCATGCCCACTAGATCGACGATTTCACATGCCCTCTGGGCAGACAATTTGTTCCTGTACGCCAGAGATGAACGGCAGCTCAGGACCATGGTGACTGAGCTCACTCTCCCCCTGCTCCAGGCCGGCCTCAATTGGAAACCATCCTCTCGCAAGCTCATCCCCTTTGGCGTCAATGGCTCGAATGATGTAGGTCTTGATATTCAGTTGCCCACACAGACCCACACGTATAAACTTGAATGCGTTAACACTTTGGACATCCTGGGCTACAGGTTGGACAGATATTGGACAAAGCATAGCGATCTGCAGTTCAACTTGGATTGTGCCCGTGGTGCCTTCTTTGCCGACATCGAATATTATAGAAGTCATCGCATCCCGATTGAGAGACGATTCCAACGATACCGACTCCGTATCCAGAGTAAGCTACTTTTCGCAATCGAGGGGATGACGATTGACAACATCACGGCACAAAAAATATTCTCCTGGGAAGGAAAGCTATTAGCCATCATCGGAGGAAGGAGGAAAGGAGTGACTGAAGATTGGACGGTCTACCAAAAGAGGAGGTTCAAGTATGCACGCGACCAGTTCGCCAACCATGGATTTGTGTCGGCGGTGGAACTCTTCATTCACAAGAACTGGTTCTGGGCGAAAGATATCGCTTGCTTTGCCAGAGGCTTTGCGTGTCAAAATATCCCGACAGCTGCGCTGCGCACGGACAGAGTACATGCTGATCCGACAGCTTCGCTGCACACGTACAGTCAGGCTCATACACATGTCCATTCGTCTTTGCCTGTGCCTCAGTTGTCTGGCCAACGTTCTTTGGAGTCCACGCCCAGTTTTATTCAGACAGCTACGCTGCACACTCACAGTGATGATACAACACATGCCCATTCTTTGTTGCCAGTGCCGCAGGTTGATGACCGTTCTTTCGACACGTTGCCCAGCTATATTCAGACAGCTACGCTGCACACGAACAGTGGAGAGCATACACACCTTCGTTCGATGTCTTCTGTGCCGCAGGCTGAGAGAGGAAGTTCTTTCGATCAGTTGCCTTGTTATATTCCGACAGCTACGCTGCACACACACTGTACACACTTTATTCATTCTCATTGTCCGCCTCGTGCTTTGCCTCAGAGTGTTTCGCCTGAGCCCCAGAGACCTGCGGCTATGTTTGGTAGCCGTGGGGGACTGACTGAGCACAAAAAAGATTGTCAACGTTCTTCTGGTCGTGTGTCGTCTGCGTCCAGTATAAGAGTTCCTTTGGAGCCGAACAAAAAGGATGCTCATTGTTCTTCTGGTCGTGTGTCGTCTGCGTCCAGAATAAGAGTTCCTTTGAGTGATCCGCTGCAGGTGGCGCATCTGTTTGAGTGCGCCAGGCTCCTGGAAAAAAGGAGCAGGCAGCGCGAATCTCAAGGCGCTGTCAGTCCTGCGGCCACAGCCCCCCCAGTCGACGGCGAGAGCGAACCCACGCCCGCGGCCAAGAATCGTCGCAGGCAGATTGTGGAGACCCGTCTGGCCGCCAGGGGAGAGAAGCGGTGCCCTGGCCCGAGTCTCACTGCGAGCCAGGAGGAGCTCGCCAAGCGTGTCAGACAGCCCCAGCGCCCTTGCGACAAAAGAGATCGGGATGAAATATGTTCGCCGAGGGGCAGTCAAAAGAGACGGTGTATTGCTCATGTGAATGATGACCCCATCGCTCCCGCCGATAGTCTGTCTGCTGCCCCACAGGGAAGTAAGCGACCGCGGGACCCCCCCTCTTCTAATCATGATAGTGAGCCGCGAGAGGCACGACCCTCTGGCGCAAACGTAAATGCCTTCAAACTCAACGCCTACTCTCAGGCGCGGTTGGGCATGATGCATGCGTCAGGTGACTGGTCCGCTCATCGTCGCGCGTTCGCTGCGCGCTCGAGGGATTCTCAGGCTGCTCTTCTTGGATGGCGTGGTGGTACTAAATACGTCGGTTGGAGAAAATGGGAAGATGTCTTCATTGCGGATCAGAATGGCAATACTAAGTGGTGGGAGACTATGATGTTTGGGAAAGAAGATTGGTCGATTTTCGTTGAGAAGTTACTCAAAAGATTGCACCTGCCCGCCATTCTTGACTATCTGGCCAAACCTAGAGCTTCGGTTGCCCGTGCGGAGGAGGAGAAGACGAAAGTTAACAATGATAGGATTGCGCGTCGCATTGCTCATAACTTTGAAAATGAGACTATCTTTGACTATGATTCGGATAATATTCCATTTGAAATACTGGGTGACAGCTTGTGTGTTGTCCAATGGATAAGAGGGCACTGGAGGTGCACGAACATGGGCTATAATAACACCTTGGAGGCGGCACAAAACACTCTTGATGCTATAACGGACACCTGCTTGAGAACTGCGTGTGCGGGGGCGGACCCAATCAAACATCTTTATAGGGAGGGTAACAGTTATGCTGATGAACTCACGTGGGCTTGCAGAGCTTGCCCACACACATCGAAGAGAAACGAGTATCTTGCCCCTTTATATACTTCGAAAGTTTTAGGATTGAGGGGTTACTTCGACGGAGGCACCTCGGATATTGGGGCTGGGGGAGGCTGGTGGCTGCAGGCTTTTGTAGAACATAAAAATGCTATACAGTGTCACGTGATTGCCGAGGAGGCGTTTGGCCTCGATAGGGAGTCAACCGTGACGGTCTGTGAGTTAACGGCCGCCTCGAAGCTAATTCACGCAATCTCGCAGATTGCGTCTGTTATAGATAGCGTCTCACACGCTCGGTAGAGCCACTTGCGCCTGGTGGCCGCGGGGAGCACCGCTGCTTGCATGTGCTGGAGGACCCCACCGCAAAGCCCGCAAAAACCTGGTTGACGGTTTACCGCCGACTCCCAGTTGTGATAGATTTGAAAATTCGTTTTGAGAACCGATATTTTTCGCACCTGTAGCGGGTTATGCCGCGCTTGCCAGTTAAATTCTCAGGTCCGTAGCTGCAGTACTATTATCAACACATTTGAAGCAACCGACTTCGGATGAAAACCGAAAAACGTGTTTTTCGAGTTTTTCAGCTCGCGCTTCAGAAAGCTATCTCCATCTGTTCCGAGCAGCGCCGCGCGAGAAAAGAGCTCTGCGAGGCTTCCAGCGGTAACCTGGTTGACGATTTACCGCCGGCTCCCAGTAAACATATCAAAAGAAGAGAAAACTTCCGTCGATATATTTGTGTCAACTAGCTCCCCAGCGCGCCGGAATTACTCTGTTAGCTTCGCCGCTAACGCTCTGAGGGAAGCTCTACGAGTCACTAGCTCCACCCCGAGCCGAAATTCCTCTACCTCACCGGTAACGGCGAGCTCTACAAATAATTTACTCTTCTAGCTTCGCCGCTAACGCTCTCAGGGAGGCTCTTATCTCTCGATCTTTGGCCAACCGACCCAAAGTTTCCACATTGTCCGTCCGGGCAGGGTCGGCAAACTAGCTCCTCCTGCGCCGGAATTCCTCTAGCTCACCGATGCCGAACAGTTCTACGAGGTACTCTAACTAGCCCCCCAGCGCGCTGGCATTACTCTTCTAGCTTCGCCGCTAACGCTCGGAGGGAAGCTCTGCGAGTCACTAGCTGCGCCCCGCGCCGGAAGTCGTCTAGCTCATCGCGCCGAATCGGCGCCGAAAAGCTCTGCGAGGTATGTACATCCATGCAACATGGGCAGACAACGTGTACCTAGTAGCCCCCTCGGCTGTACAGATGCAGCGCATGATGAACGCACTCAATCATGCTCTACGGTCCTGGGGCCTCGAATGGAAGAAGGCTTCGCTTGACTGTGAGCACTGGGTGCCACTCGCGAAACAGTTTTCACGGCGGAGGTGGGTGGGCGTGTCCAGTAAAAGGCGGTCGATCAATTCAATGTTCTGGGCACCATTGTGAATAGACAGTACGGGCACACACAAGAAGCTATGCGGCATCTTGTACCTCGTGGAGCTCTTCGGCATCGATGAGCTTGAGGAATTCCGGCGCGGAGTGGAGCTAGCTAGTCGACCCGACCAGAATGGGCAATGTGACCACTTGGGCTCGGTTTTGCGAAGATTTCAAAGATATGTAATCATCTATTTTGAGATATCAGCTTTTTACGTCCAGCATTAGTGTTGAAACTTCATTCGGAGAGAGAATCAGCTCTCTAGAGAGAGGGTTACGATCGAAACATTTGGACGAGGCGACATCAGGTTGACACCGAAAAATGCATATTTGACGTTTTTCTAGAACTGTTTCGAGAAGATGTCTGCTTCGATTCTGAGCACTCTTACGCGTGCAAGGAGCTCTACGAGGTTCCCGGCGGTGACCAGGTTGACGGTTTACCGCCGGCGCCGGTTGACTGGCCGCGAACGGCTTTCTACAGACTAGCTAAATATTATCGTTGTCGGGCTTTGCCTTTCGAAGCGGTATCGCAGATATCAGAGTTTGGTTCAGAGCGCGCTCACATGCGGACGGGCTGCTTGCACGTCGGGCTTGGAGGGAGGGGTTCCCCCATGCCTTTCAGGTGGTGACCTGGAAGTCCTGGTGCATGGCGCACCCAATCCGCGCTAGCTAGAACGCGCTACCATTTGACTCGTAGAGCTTCCCTAAGAGCGTTAGCGGCGAAGCTAGAAGTAATTCCGGCGCGCTGGGGGGCTAGTTGGCATAAGTCTCGACGGATTTTTTGTAGGAAAAAGAAAGATGTATATATAAATATATATATACACTGAATATCTCGAAATTCACCCATTCATTAGAGCTTCAGTATTTTTTCTCCTCATATTCGATCTTATTCCCGCTCGCCATCTTCATCTCAGGTCGATCGGGTATTTAGTACTGCCAAAAAGCACTCAGGCTGGATCGGCTGTATTGGGCCATCGTGACTGGTGCTATCGGTTTTCTTAACTTAACTCGATCTCTAGGTGAGCTACAGAGCTGGTAGGAAATGAGCTAGAGAGCTTTTTGGCACAGCAATCGGAAGAACATCATCAGGCGCGCAAGTTGAAAGTATCTGGACGCCCGACCTCGGTCTGCTTTCAGCGCTGGGGCCGAAATACTATTCGTACTCTGCTATTTTTTGAAAGATGGTGATGGTTTTCTTGGCTTAACTCGAGCTGCAGACGATCTACAGAACTGTTCGGCACATCACTCCGAAGGAAATCATCAGGCGCGCTAGTTTCAAGTATCCAGACGCCTGCACTCGGTCTGCTATCAGCGCTCAGTCTGAAAAACTATTCGTGCCCTGCTAATTTTTGAGAGATAGTGTTGTTGTTTTTGGCTTAACTCGAGCTGCAGAGCTAGCTGTTCAGCGCAGCAATCGGAAGGAAATCACCAGGCGCGCTAGTTGAAAGTATCTAGACGCCTGAACTCGGTCTGCTATCAGCGCTGCGGCCGATTATGATGGTTTTCTTTACGCTGTTCGGCGCAGCAATCGGACGGAAATCAACAGGCACGCTAGCTCAGAATGTCCAAACGCCTGAACTCGGCATGGTCTGCCTATTATTGTTTCTCTCGATGTTTTCCCCTCACTCTTTCTTCTCGCCCACGTCCTTCTCCATGAGACCGAGCTCTCGCGCGCGCATTGCGAGATTGCCGCGCCCGCATTCCACGAGGAAGCTTTACGAGTTCCCGGCGGTGACCAAGGTTGACGGTTTACCGCTGGCTCCCAGTCTTGTTGCAGCGCAGAGATCCGCTGATGGGACCCTGTCGGCGTCTGGTGCTGTGCCCTGCCTGTTTGAGGTGAGGATCTCCACAGTGAAGACGCCGCCCGCCCCTCAGCCCGACCCCGCCCCATCGAGCAGAAATGTCTTGGAACGGATAACACCGTACCCTGGTACGTCGCGTCGAGCCTTGTGTCATTCACAAGACATTGCTATGTGCAAGTACGTTGTGCGAAGAACATTGTGCGGACCGAAGTCATTCGAAGACACGGTAACTGAAGGAGAGCTTCCGAGGGGAAACGACTGCTTGCCTATAGGGGGACTGCGGGTCAAAGATCCTGGCAGTGCATTTATATACATGGGGCCAAGTGGTGGGGCACGTCCCAGCCATGATTTTCCATTTTTTCTTTCGACATGGGAAACGCTGCTGATGACGTGCGAACGCCCTAACATATACACATATTTCAATATAGCTTGGAAGAAGATACACAACGGCACGATGGGAAGGGAATGTAACGAAGGTTTTTGGCGTAATGAGGAGGGGGCGGAGGAGGAGAACACAAAGCAGGCCAGTCTACTTGCTGCGATTAGCGAGCGTGTTACGGTTTGGATGTGATGTTCCCCGAGGCGATTCGTTCTACCTCTAGCTCTTCGACGAGATGAGCTAAGAGGAATTCTGGCGGAGAGTGCAGCCAGTTCGTCGACCTCGCAAGAACGGACAATGTGGTCACCCGGGGTATTCCCCCCCCCCCCCGAAGATTTTGAGAGATTTCAAATTTCGTTTTGAGAATTCTGAGTTTCGTTCCCTGCAGTCGATCATGGCGCGTTTGATGGTGCAATTCTCAGGACTACAGGTGTATTATTTCGATCAAACCATTTGGAGCAACCGACGTTGCATAAAGTTCAAAAAATATATTTTTACGAGTTTTCTAGCTGACAGTCGAGAACGCTCTCTCGTGGTTATCTGGAACTGATTTCGTGCGTTCAGAGCTTTACGAGGGTCCAGCGGTAACTGGTTGACGGTGCCGCCCGCTGCCAGTTGATCCAGTCTTGGCTAGCGGGGAAATAGAGGTGCCATTCCAAATTGTACCAACAGCGGGTTCATGAGTGCGTGCAGGATCTGCTGATGAGCTCACGCACTTGGCCCGTGAGGGCCAGGCATTTTACAGAAAGTATCGTGTTCGTTTTGCGCTTGAGACGGAATCATTAGTACCCATCGCCTGTCGGGGTGCGTATGTCGAGGGAGTCTGCATTAACGGTAGCTGTCGTGGTTTCTGGCTTCATAGTGGCTACCTCAATATGCGACACATGGTGAGAGCATGAGTGACAGTTTTGTCATGTAAGTCACAGGTTGCTAGTTCCTGCCCCTTCCCCGCCTGCATCATGCTATGGATACACCTTTCGTCTGGAGAGAAGCCGTCGAGGCCGCCTGAATGCTTGAGCCAGGGGCCACGAGCATCGACTGTGAACTTTCAGCCGCGTGTTATTTTCTGCTAGTCCTCTGATGCCTACGCCGAGGCGACGGCAGGCCTCCTGGCTCGGCAACTCTGCACTTGCTTGTCTCTGGTGCGTGGGTCCTGTCTTTGTTTCGGTAATGCCCGAGCCTCCTGGCTCGGCAACCCCACGCTTGCCTTGTGTTGTCTCGGTGCCTTGTTTTCTCTTGTTGCCTAAGCCCTCTGGCTCGACAGCTTAACACTTGATGCCTAAGCCTCCTGGCTCGGCAGGGTCTGTGTGCGCCTGTCTGCCTGCTCGCGAAGCCTATATGGGCTGCGCTGATGTCCAGCGCCTCGCCAGCCCGCGTAAACACAAAACCTGGTTGACGGTTATCGCCGGCTCCCATCTCGGATCTTCGATCTGCGGATGGAGGTTCGAGCCTGCTCGGTGGCAGCGCGAGGACGGCGGGAGGGGCGATCTACGATCGTCGAGCTGGTCCTCGAGCCTCGGATGTCGAACCCGAGATTTTCCAGTCCAAGCTTGGCGACCCTCGGATCCAGCATCCGAGGTGCCCGCAAACGCTCAAGGCCAAGAACTCGTATCCTCAATGCTTCGTAGGGCACTTCGGCATCGATGTGCTAGAGAAACTTCGGCGCGGGATGGAGCTAGTTAACCGTTGTGGTAGTCTGGGGTCGTTTTTTTGGGGGCAGATTCTGAGAGATTTGAAAGTTTGTTTCAAAAATGAATATCTTTTCACGTGCAGTGAGTTATGCCGCGTCTGTCTGTCAAATTCTCAGGTCCGTAGCTACATTTTTTATCCCAACTCTCCTCAGTCGGGTTTTTGTTTTGACGGCAGTGGGATTGCGTCTCCTCCTCCTCTTTTCTCCTCCTTCTATTCCTGCCTCCTGTGTGCTCTCGTCTCCTCTTCTCTTTCCAGTGGTGCCTGCGAAATGTGAAGCTGGCACGCCTGGGGCGCTGCGATCTGCGAAACTTTTGCCACTTTCGAGGGCTGCTGGGAGGGTCAGCATAGTGGGTACTTGCCGCAGAGTCAGAGTGTAGCGCGCCATCCCTGGGGGGCTGCGATCTGCAGAACTCTCGCCACTATCGAGGGCTGCTGGGAGGGCCAGCATAGTGGGTTCATGCCGCAGGCTCCGATTGTAGCGGACCGCTCCTGGGGGGCTGCGATCTGCGAGACTGTCGCCGCTTTCGAGGGCTGCTGGGAGGACCAGCATAGTGGGTACTTGCCGCAGACTCAGAGTGTAGCGCGCCATCCCTGGGGGGCTGCGATCTGCGAAACTGTCGCCACTTTCGAGGTCTGCTGGGAGGGTCAGCATTGTAGGTACTCGCCGCAGACTCAGATTATGGCGCGCCGTCCCTCGGGGGCTGCGATCTGCGAAACGGTTGCCACTTTTGAGGGCTGCTGGGAGCGCTAGCGTAGTGGGTGCTCGCCGCCAGATTGTAGCGCGCCGTCCCTGGGGGGCTGCGATCTGCAAAATGGTTGCCACTTTCGAGGTTTTTTTTGGGAGGGCCACTCGGTGTGAATAGAGCACCGCCTGCGCGTCTCCTTCCGCTCCCGCTCCCTCTCCTCTCTCCTCCCCCCCATCGCGGACCGCCACTGGGGGGCTGCTTAGACCTCCCCCGTGCTATCTCCGCTCCCTCGTTCCTGGCGTCCTGGCCTCGTCCTCGCCCCCGTCCTTCTTCGAGCGTAGACCCTAGAATCTCGTCCATTTGATCGTTACCCTCTGGGTCGTGCACTATATGCGCATCCCATCTAGCGCGCACATGCACGCATCGCGTTGGCACTGTCGTTCTTCACGACGATACTTACCGATTCTTGCACCGGGCCACTTGATGCAAATGGGTTGGGTCCGTCGCAGGATAATTTTGTAAGTGTAAAGGAACCGACCTCGTACAACGTCCCAACAAATACATTCTGCGAGATTTCAGGGTGATATCCAAGGAAGCTTTCTTCTTCTAATCTGAGCACTGATTCGCCTGTCAAGAGCTCTACGAGGGTCCGAGCTCTACGAGGGTCCGCCGATAGTCAGTCTGCTGCCCCACAGGGAAGTAAGCGACCACGGGACCCCCCCTCTTCTAATCATGATAGTGAGCCGCGAGAGGCACGACCCTCTGGCGCAAACGTGAATGTCTTCAAACTCAACGCCTACTCTCAGGCGCGGTTGGGCATGATGCATGCGTCAGGTGACTGGGCCGCTCATCGTCGCGCGTTCGCTGCACGCTCGAGGGATTCTCAGGCTGCTCTTCTTGGATGGCGTGGTGGGACTAAATACGTCGGTTGGAGAAAATGGGAAGATGTCTTCATTGCTGATCAAAATGGCAATACGAAGTGGTGGGAGACTATGATGTTTGGGAAAGAAGATTGGTCGATTTTCGTTGAGAAGTTGCTCAAAAGATTGCACCTGCCCGCCATTCTTGACTATCTGGCCAAACCTAGAGTTTCGGTTGTACGTACGGAGGAGGAGGAGACGAAAGTTAATAATGATAGGATTGCGCGTCGCATTGCTCATAACTTTGAAAATGAGACTATCTTTGACTATGAGTCGGATAAGATTCCATTTGAAATATTGGGTGACAGCTTGTGTGTGGTCCAATGGATAAGAGGGCACTGGAGGTGCACGAACATGGGCTATAACAACACCTTGGAGGCGGCACAAAACACTCTTGATGCTATAACGGACACCTGTTTGAGAACTGCGTGTGCGGGGGCTGACCCAATCAAACATCTTCATAGGGAGGGTAACAGTTATGCTGATGATCTCACGTGGGCTTGCAGAGCTTGCCCACACACATCGAAGAGAAACGAGTATCTCGCCCCTTTATATACTTCGAAAGTTTTAGGATTGAGGGGTTACTTCGACGGAGGCACCTCGGATATTGGGGCTGGGGGAGGCTGGTGGCTGCAGGCTTTTGTAGAACATAAAAATGCTATACAGTGTCACGTGATTGCCGAAGAGGCGTTTGGCCTCGATAGGGAGTCAACCGTGACGGTCTGTGAGTTAACGGCCGCCTCGAAGCTAATTCACGCAATCTCGCAGATTGCGTCTGTTATAGATAGCGTCTCACACGCTCGGTGGAGCCACTTGCGCCTGGTGGCCGCGGGGAGCACCGCTGCTTGCATGTGCTGGAGGACCCCACCGCAAAGCCCGCAAAAAACCTGGTGGACGGTTCACCGCCGGTTCCAGTCCGAGGATGGAGGTCAAGCCTGCTCGGTGGCAGTGTGGGCTCGAGGACGGCGGCGAGGGCGATCTACTATCGCTGATGCTCGGTCCTCGAGCCCGGGGTGTCGAACCTGAGATCTTCGAGCCCACGCTTGGCGACCCTCGGATCTAGGACTCAAGGTGCCCGAAGATGCTCGGACTCAAGAACTCGTATCCTCGATCCGGGGATGGAGGATCGAGCGTGCTCGATGGCAGCGTGGCGATCGAGGATCGCCGAGGCTCGATCGTCGACCTTCGGATCGCGAGCCCGAGATCTTCGAGTCCAAGCTTGGGGCCCTCGGATGTAGGGCCCAAGTTGCCCGAATATGCTCGGATTCAAGATTTCGGATCATCGATCCGTGGATGGGGGATCGAGCCAGCTTTATTCCTTGGTGCTTGATCGAGGATCACTGGGCGAGAGGGAGTAGCACCCCGCAGCTTGGAACGCCGCTCGCCCGTGCTCGAGCGCTCTCTTGGAGCTCGAACGGCAGATGGGGCCTGAGCGCGTGCCTGGAAACGACACCTTCGTAACGAAAAACATGGGCACTTGGCTCGGGGAGCTCGTGCGCTCAGGCGTCCGTGAGCATGAACGAGACGGGCTCTTCG